TTTTGTCTCTAAGTGTAAAGCCACTCATCCATCTAATCATTCTCATCTCGGCAACACTTAACATAGAATTATGCTTCTCTTTTAAAGGCCAACATTCAGCGCCATAGAGCATTGCAGGTCTCACCACCATCTTATAAAATTTTCCTTTCAATCTAAGCGGTACTTTTCAAACACAAAAGGCCCAAAGCATTCCTCCACTTCAACCAACCAACTTGAATTCTACTATCAATATTCCCATCTATATCACCATCGCTTTGAACAACGGACCCAAGATATCTAAATCGTTCACATCTTTTAATAATTTGATCGCCCAAAGTTACACTTCTGTCACTAGAGCTATTACTACTAAAATTACATGTCATGTATTCAATTTTAGTTCTACTCAAATGAATGCCTTTAGACTCCAATGTAGACCTTCATAATTCAAGTTTTTCCTAGGTTTTTTCTCTCTTCTTATCAACGAGAAGGATATCATCAACAAAAAGAATACACCAAGGTAGATCCTCCTGTAAATTTCCAGTAAGACCATCCATAACTAAAGCAAATGAGATATGGGCTTAAAGCCGATCCTTGATGTAATCCAACAGAAATAGAAAAATAATTGGTCAATCCTCCTTTAGTTCGAACTCAACTAATAGCTCTAGTATACATATCTTTAATGACTTGAATATAAGTTATATCAACACCTTTCTTCTCAGGAACTCTCCAAAGGATATCTTTTCGAACCTTATCATAAGTTTTTTCTAAATCAATAAAAATCAAATGTAGATCATCCTTATTATCTTTGAACTTCTCCATCAAACCTCTCAATATATGTATAGCTTCCATAGTAGACTTGCCCGGCATAAATCCAAATTGATTATGACAAATCTTTGTAATAGATCTTAACCTATGTTCAATTACCCTCTCCCATAATCTTAAAGTATGACACATCAACTTAAATCCTCTATAATTTGCACACGCTTGTGTATCCACCTTATTCTTAAAAATGGGACCAAAATACTCTTCCTCCGAAATCTTTACAATCTCGACGATCTCTTATTCTCATAAGAAAATAATCAATTTGTGTTTTATTAGACCCATTCTTATAAATAATAAGATGATCATCTCTTTTCTTCAATAAAGTATTAGTAATAATAAAATCATACGTTAAAACAGAATCTAAAATGGTTCTACAGTCTTCATTAGTCACTCCAAAACCGTAGTCATCATGAATATTTCTGAAATCTTCTAACACTCTACCGACGTGTCCATTTAAATCTCCTCCAATAAAATTTATTTCTTCAAGAGGTATCATTTGTATTAAATCTTCTAATTCATTCCGGAATTTATCTTTAGACCATATATCTAAACCTACTTGAGGTGCATAAGCACTTATAATATTAAAAATCTTTGTATCAATAATAATCTTAAGGGTTATAATTCTATCTCCAACTCTTTTAATTTTTACAATATTATCTTTCAAACTCTTATCTATAATTACACCTACACCATTTTTAATTTGACTCTTCCTAGAATACCAAACTTTAAAACATAAGTTATCAATCTCCTTAGCATTTTCTCCAACCCATTTAGTCTCTTGAATACATAAGATATTAATACTTCTATGCATCATAATATCAACTAATTCCATTAATTTACCATTGAGAGTACCTATATTCCAAAATCATATTCTAATATTAGTTTCATTAGTTTCATGGACTAACTTCTTTACCCGCATATGTTCGTAATGTAGGAAACCTTGCTTATCTGACACTACACTTGGGCACCGGTGTAGCGGCCCTTACACACTTTTCACTGTATTCAGGTCATACAGCGCGTCGGTTCTAGAGGACGCCCTAGCACTTACACAATGTTCAAAAAAATTCATGTCATGATTTTATTTTGACAATTTTTACGCCGACAGATGACTACTTAACGCAACGCTTCACTTTTTCACATCCGGGCTTGAGACCGGCAATGACAATGTTATAGTCAAAAATGTCAATATTGAAGAAAAAATAAGACTTCATGAACCCTATTTTAGATTAGAAAATAAGAATAAGATGAAAGACATCAGAAAATAGACGAATTTCCTAGAAAAGAAAAATAAAATAATTGTAATGCCTAAAGAAAAAAGTTTTGAGATGTAAGTTAATTTATATTAGAATAAAAAGCTGATGGGAGCATAAAAGTGGTTGGCATGTCATGAGATTGTTATAAAAACAAACACACGATTGAATTGCAAGGGACGCCTGATGCGTATAATGGTTAAAAAGATGTCAGGAACTATGACTTTTTATTGATTTTATGGTTGTTATCATGCAATCCTAGACAATTAATAGTTGAAAATTATAAATGTTGCAATACAATCAAATACTAGTCTTTCTAGGATGTTCTTTGCTACAAGAGAACTTGTATGTGTCTGATGATGTGCAAATTCTTGTTAACAACCATTTTTACACAATATTGTTAAACTTTATGGAATGTATCAAGAGGTTGGCATGTCATGAGATTGTTATAAAAGCAAACACACAAATGAAGTTTGCATTAGAATAAAAAACTGATGGGAGCATAAAAGATATAAATACATCTTGTAACAAAAGGTTATACCCAAACCAAAAGGGTAGACAATTAGAAAATAATTGTTCCTATCGCTAAAATAAATATGATTTGTATCTTTATCTCTTTATCTACCAAATTTGGATGGTCCGTGCCCATGACATAAAGAATGCCTTCGTACATGGAGATATGAAAGTAGTTTTTATAAATCCCCTCCAAGGTTCAACAACTCCTTTTCAAAAAAAAAAAAGGTAATCAAACCAAAGAAAGATACTATATGGGTTCAAACAATCTCCAAGGGTGTTCTTTGAGAATTTCATAAAATCCATAAGTGGAATAGGATAAATTGAAAGCTAAAAAATGGTATAATCTTTATTGAACACTCATTGAAGGAAAAGTGAAAATTATCATTGCTTATGTTGATGATATAATTATCTCCGCTGAAGAAAAAAATCACTAAAAAAGAAATTGCTACGACATTTGAGATTAAAGTACTCAGCAAATTTAAGTGCATACATCATCAGCACAAGTGGCAAAAAAAAAAAAGAATATTTATCTCAACAAAAATAGTTAAGAACCTCTTATGAAAAATGAATATGATAGACTAAAAGTTGTGTGAAGTCAGAAACTAGATATTAATGAAAAAGGAATCAACATTGACAAAGGATGATATCATAGATAAATTGGAAAACTAGTTTGCCTATCTCATACTCATCTAGAACTTGCATTTGTGCTAAGTCTTGTAAGTTAATTAATACAAAAACCAATAGAAACTGGCCTTGAAGCTGCTCGTAGAATCCTCATGTATTAAAAATCTAATTTGAAAAAGAAATTCTCTTTAAAATACATGAAATTCTGAAACTAGAAGACTATAGTAATGTTGAATATGTGTTATTATTGGTGATAGAATATTAAGTTTATGTTATTACATGTTACTTAGAGGAAGT